GCAATAGTGATCAAGATGGGACTGCAAATGATTAAGAGAAACATCCCCCCATTTTCTTCAATAATTTAATTTTCGCGTCCAACCATGACCTTCTTTTGAGTTTGGGCTCCTCAGGTAAAAATTTTGAGTATTTTCAGATAATTAGAGATTATCAAAATTATTAACAGTTGAAAGAAATACTAACATATTATATAAAACCGAGGCAGATAACGCATATATATAGTAATTGCAGCCAATATCTGCGTACCGAACGTAGACCGAGTGTAGAACGCCAAAACCGGTAGAGCGCATACCGAATTAGCACCGATTTTTATACTGAACCTTTGCTCAGAACCGTTTTGATAAACAAATAACTTAAAATTTCTTTAAAACTCAGTATATTTACTACCTACTAGGCTTATCACTCGTCCCAGTGTCTTAGTTATCTCAGTTAATAGAAGCTACGAGAAAATAACACCTTATATATTTAAAAAAAATTATGAAAGCTAAAGTCAGTTCTATCCAGCCGATTTTCTTCATTTTTTTTTTTTTAATGAAAGGTATTTAGACATAGATATATCATCAATCATTGAAATTTACTCAACTCCCACCAATGTGAATCTTCCCTGTACATTTCTTATGGGACACATTCACTCAAGCAATTCGAATTCTCATAGTTCCTCTTCTAATGAATGGATCTTGATCGTTTCACTTTCAGAACACTCAGTGGATCAAGCTCTTTCTTTTAAGCTATTAACTGCTTAAATTCGTTGAGTTTGAGGAAATTTATGTGTGCACAACCAACTTTACTTTCAATTTTTTCCAAATAATACATTCTCATTGGCTTTTACCCAGTGATATAACGACAAACAACTCACAAACAATACTAATATAATTACTTATATTAGCTAATATTGTCTGGAAGGAAGCACTGTAAAAACACTGTAATAATTACACCTTCTCATACATAGTTTATCCTAATGCTGCGGAACATATATTTTAATAAACACTCTCTGTCATTTCGATATGTCTTACAATTTTCGATATTATACTCATTTATTGATTTGTTAAAATATTTTTATATATTGATTCGATTCCGAATTATATATAATTAGTTTTTATACACGAAAATATAAATCATTATTATGCTATTCAATAATAGTACGTTACTACGTTTTATTGTTTTAGGGTTTTAACGACAAACGATAATGTCAAGAAGAAATTGTTTTTTATTAAATAATTTCATGTCATTCCGCTATCCACTGAAAGTAATTTTACTCTTCCTTTAATGCTACGATTTAACAAAAAATGATTATTTTGTAGCGTGCTGTTTTTTAATAGTTACACATTATTACAATAAGTACATTAGTATTACAACTAATAGAGTATACAATATATTATAATATAAAGTTTTCTTTATTTTCTATAAATAGATATGTACCAAATAAATTGAATATTTTAACCAAAGTTAAATATTGTATTACATATTATTGTTGTAATATTATGATAAGCCTTAGGACATAGTCATAGTACTCGTATTTCTAAGTATCAAGTTTTAAATTTTAGGGGATTATTTAGAGACATTTATCAGATTTTGGTATTCTGAATAATAATATAAAAATATTAATTTTCCTCTTCTATCCATCATATAAAAATTAAGTATGAAATATTTATCTTAATTTGTTTTTTAATACGGCTGATCTCCTGAAATACTTTTATTTTGTCCCTCATTCATCATTCATGTGTGAAATTAATTTCATCGGGAAAAAATCATCTAACTAGAAAAATTATATAGGTTTCATTTTTAATTAATCTGTGATTTCAATAATTTTTCCATATTTTTTTCTGTATTAAATCAAATAATTTTCCGATTAATGATGTTGTGATAATTTTTCTGTGATATTACGGGACAAAAATACAAATGTTCCATTTGTTTATAAGTTGAAATACTAAATGAAAAATAATATATGTATATAATAATATCAATATGTATAAATATACCAATTTATATTACATAATTAGTAAAGTTTATTTTAATAATACTCATCGGAGAGCTTACATACATATTAGCTTTAAGGAAAATCTAATGAATTGTCTAAAAAAAATTTCTATACATGTCTTTTAATGATAATAAATTTACTAGAGAAATATTTATAAATTAATTAAATATTAGTTAAAAGTCGATATATTATGTGAGTATAATTAGATATACATTAATACACAGATACTCAAATTATATATAATTTTATTTTTTTTCTTGATGTTTTTTATATTACGTTTCCGTTTTATCAACTTTTTATTATTTGTAAAAAGAAGTGCCATCAACAAATGCGTGTTTGCCTGAATTGTATTTCAAAAATATTGATTTTGATTTTATTGCTTTATATTTTCGAAAATACATTCTCTCAGGAAAACATTTATTGAAAGGTTAAAATTTAGTAGGAAAGGTTTATACATAGCGTGACTTTATGTGTACAACTTTATTGCAATAATATTAATAGCCAATTGTAATGCAAAATTGTTTAAATAATTTAAATAAAACCAAACATTTATTTTAACTGTACCTATTTTAATGTAGGTAGAATATAATAATTTATCCTTATTTATCATAATTTAATTATTTTCCCAAAGTGACGTGAGTGGAGTCATTTATCTGATTCATTTATTCTCCATAACTTGGACCAGTAAATTAAAATGTTCAGATGGGCTTAGAATTGGTAGCTAGCTTCAAAAGGATCTTGACTGAATGAGAGAACTGCTATGTCGTCGGAGTAAGTCCCGATTAGGGTGTTTTGTGTTGTAAGGATGTCAGCTGTGTACAATGTATAGAGAAAAAGTACAATGCCGCTCCCTTGTAGCACTCCGGCTAAGAAGATATGTAAGACGGAAAGTGAGGTTTTTAGTTTGACTCTGGAAGCTCTATTAGTTAAGCAGAATTTTAGAAGTAGATATTAAGGTGCAATGAAAATTGTTTAATCTTGAATAATAAGCTCTCGTGCCATACGGTGTCGAACACCTGAGCAACGTCGAGGAAAAACGCTGAACAATATTTTTTAGTTTCAAGAGATGTAGCGATGCGACCCACAACCCGGTAAAGTTGGTGGAAAGTAGCATGTCTAGTATTGCTTTGTAAAATATATCTTTAATGTTTGTAATTATTTTCGTTATTTTTGGATAATCTATAGTTGAAAATGTCGAAGTTGAAATAATTTTTATTTTATTTTATTTAGAGAAATTTTTAAATTTTTAGAGAAAGATCAATTTTGTTCTCATACTTACATGTAATAATTATATCTTTTATTTTTACGGTTTAAATTTTTATTATTTATACGCATATGCCTTAATATGTTTATTCAAAAATGATATTTAATGTGCCGAAACTGAATTTATTTTTTAATTAATATATAAAAAAAAAAAACCAAAAGTACCTGAAAGTGGTTTGCAAAATATTATTTCAGTATGCTTGTTATCATCATATGAGTTGCTTAGTCAATTGAGTACAATGTAACAATGAAAAATATTAAATATTTTATAAATTAATTAAACCATAATTATTAAAAACAAATTACATAATTTTAACATAACTAATATTATCTAATATTATTTTGTTATAAATATTGCACATACATAATTATTGTTGTGCATCTTTATTGTTTAAAATTATATGGTTTGTCTTGTACAAACATGTTTAGAATAATTTAATTTAATCGTTATATTTTGGAATATAATTTTAAAACTTTGAAAACAATAGCAATGAAGATCTAAAAACGATTAATACAAAATAATAAATATTAAATATGAAGTGTTAAACCTTTAAAAAAGTTGTTAATCTGATATGTTATATTTAAATCAGTGGCGTATATAAGGGGGGGGGGTTCAAACCCCCCCCCCAAAATTTATGGTTAGTACGATCCACGTGTGCATTTCTTTAATCTATGTATTAATTAAAACCAAACAGTCTAGTATGGGAAAAAAATGCTCTCTCCTAATTTTTAAGCAAATTATACGCCCAATTCTTACCTACGCTTGCCCGGTATGGGGTAATTGTGCATCCTCGCACATCAAAAAAATGCAAATTGTCCAAAACAAAGTCCTCAGAATAATTGCAAATGTTCCGTGGTTTGTCAGAAATCCAAATCTGCTATTGATACTTTGAATAAACTATCCGTTGATTTTTTCCAAATATATGGTGCTTAATGTCAATATTAGTAACTTTACCAGTCTCAACAGCGTCATCAGAAAGATCGTTTTCGATATTGAAAAGATTGAAGTCGTGCTTGAGAAATAGTACAAGCGAAAATCGACTAACAGGATTATCTCATGTCAATTCATCGAAGTATTTCAATAAACACTGAAGAAGTGATAAATAATTTTGCAAATCTACCTCGAAAATTAGACTTTGTCCTGTAATTAAATTTACGTATTCTAATTTTCATAGTTATTAAAAATAAGTTAATTTATAACCTTCATTTAGTATATATTTTTTCATAACCCCCCCCCCCCGAAATTAATTCCTATATACGCCACTGATTTGAATAACCTTTATATTATACAAAGTATACCAATCAACTTAAAAATGCTGTTTGAATCAATTTTAAATGTATGATTCCATGGTTTTTCAAAATTAAATACATACCTCACTTCGTCTAGGATCTAAAAATAAGCAACTACTTAATGAATTAAAAATACAGTTAAATAGTTAGATAGGTCAGAACTAATATTTTAGTATTCAGTTGTATTGCAAACTTAATTTATTATAATAATTATGTATTGTAAAATTGTATTGTAAAATTAGATAAAACATATAATGCATGTACCTAAAACGGTGATAAAAATTCTAAGGTTGACTATACCTTACTGATTTTTTTTTTTTTTTTGTATACATTCACGAGTTTTGCGGAAGTCTATTTCCTATATGAACATTAATTATTATTATTTGGGTGTGTTGCCCATGGATACTAGACTTCACGCTTTGCACACACACGCGCATGCGCTGTCATTGGTATACATGTTTTATTTGTATCATGTATAAATGGATGAAATGTCAATCAAAACGAACGTTTCCAGCAAAAATCTAAATCCTGAACAATACAATGGAGGTTGATGAAAGAATCTGTCCAAATGCAAACAATTGTCTTGGAATGTATACATGGATATAAGGTGGTTATGGTTGATGTACATAATAATGTTATCCAGTTACAGTTTACAGAGTGTGGAACAAGAAGGTAAGTCGTCAACAATTGTCATAACTATATAACTAACATAACTAATATATATATAAATACATTGTTCTACCCATTATATTATTATAATGTAGTTTATTAAAATATAAATCTATTCAGTTTTATAGATTTATGTATTATTAATTTTTTTTATCTATAACAAAACAATATAATTCTATAACATTATACATGTATGTATATGTGCACTAATTGGTCTTTATAATTACATGTGCATACTATAGAAAAATTATATTTTTACTAAAACCGACAGCAATACGAGTCATTCGAACTAGAGATAAACTAAAATTTAATTTTCTGATCAATAAAGCAATGTATATTGAAGTATAAAATTTTAACTATTATATTTATAGTTTATGATTAAAGAATGCAATTTGTGAAAACTGTTTTGAAATATTGATAATTGATAAAAAATAATTTTTTACTGACTAACTATAGTGTTACAAGCTTATAACATTATGATATTAGAAAAATTAACTTAATTGACTGTGATGTAAATAGTTATCATATAAAAATTAATTATTTTTCAGATAATTTAACAGAACTCATGCACAACTACACAAATTTGAAAATATTTTTATGGTCAGGTTCCGGAGATGGTTCAGACGAACCAATAGAAACATCGACTTCTAATATTCCACTTTATTCTGTAAATTAATTGATACATAAATACGTACATTGTAAAATTAAATGAGATAATTGTATAAAAACATTTTATAGGAAAATCCCGAAGACTGTATTGGTGGTCAAGACTGTAACATTCAACCTACGTCTATTGCGCCACATACCGGGGTTATTGATATACCACAAACTACAGAAATACCAAACAGAGAATTTTGGATAGTAACAGAATTAAATGTTCACTCACCAGTGAATGTTAATATTTCTGTCTCCGCTATAAAAAAGAAATTGGCAACACTCTACACCATTGCTTTTACTAGGTACTATTCTATATAATTGTATTAATATATATTACTATAAATATACTCTTTAAGTAAAATCTTTATATGGAATTACTACACAACATCCATATAATAAAATAATAAAAATAAATAAATAACTCTTAGTAATAGATTATCCAATTAATAGGATTATGTTAATAGTTTATAATAGTTCTTATCTGAGTAAATAAACCGTTATTACAATTTAACTAATAACATCATATTTAAACCTAAGATTATAATACCTAGTCTTTGAAAATACCCATATATATTTTCTTTATATAATTTTCATAAATATATTTGATTAATAATTTAGACCCTTTTGAAATAAAATTTATTTTATTCGTCACATATGAAATTATTTGACATTTTTAAATTGTTATTTTTATAAGTATTTTAAATATATTTTGTGTATCTAATGATACAATGATAGTACATCTATCATAACATGTAGTCATATACGTAGGATGTGTTGGATAATATCAATATGATACTATAAAAAATAAATAATGTAAAAAATTATGAAATTATATACCAAGAGACAAGTAATCAATATAAACCAGACATTATGGTCTATATTATTAATAAATAGAATATTGTTCAATTTTAAATGTATAGTGATTTATTTCTGATTGACACAATAGAAATAAAATTAAGTCTCGGTTATGTATTGTTACGAAGCAAACGTTTGATCAATAAAATAATATCGTATAAAAACAAAATAAGTTTATTTGAATTAGTTCAACATAGATTTGCAAACAATAAAGTTGAACTTTTATTAAATTGTGGTTTTCAGACAACAGGTCCGACATCTTGGACTAAATGCAAATTGGACTGAAGAAGAAGTAAACTTATACAGAAACCGGAGATGGGATTCCAATGAAAAACCAATTAAAGTTAAGGTGCACATTTTGTCTATATTGAATAAATTGGATTTGGTTTATTTTGTTACCGTAAATGATCATCCTATATCTGCTGCAACTGCAGTGCGTGATATGAGCTTGGTTACAACACAAGAAGTTGCAAATCACCTTGGATACGCTGTAAAAATAAAAGCTCGCCGTGAGTAATACTTGCGCTTTATTAGTATGCTAAACTTAAAACTACATTTTCTTAGCTTATTTGGACGGATTACTATTCCAACGAGTTCATGGTGTAAGTTATAGTGAGATTTGGATATTCATCACCGCAACTTGCATAATTATTCTAGTGCTCATAACAGGAATTTTTATAGCACACAAAAAAAAAAGGAGGAAAAATAGTATTAGCTCTGATAGAACTGATATGGCGTTTTGTGAAGATCAAACTTCTCATCGAGATGTATTTTTTTATCTTATGTTTATTTCTTAAGATTATAAAGTAACTTTAGGGAAACTTGACTTTTTTAGGTGAAGACCGAAGCTACTTCTACTGAAGATATTGGAATTATACGAACACCTAAACCAAAGCCAAGAAATAGAAATAAAATATCTAACTCTTTACTTTCGATGCAAGCAGCTAATAAATTTCAAAAGTTAGTAAGTTAAATAATAAACCGATGACAACATTTCAGAATTAAAAATAAATAATATATTTAATTTAAAAAATAAAAACCTCAATCAGTAATATTGTAAAAGAGTATATACACTTTATCGAGAAAAAAAATGTAAATTACTTACATAAATAATTTTAAAAAGAAAAATTAAAAATGTTGAATAATTTATATCCATTATCATATAAGTGCCTACTAAATTATTTTTTTTTATTATAAGACTAATAAATTATAACTCAAAAAACACCTCAAATGGGTTCAATGATCTTATCATTACAGTAAAAATATTCCTGGGGCGTTTTATCTTAGTGAGAAATAAGTAGTCATTGAGATCAAACTAATACGATTAAAAAATTAAACGGTTGCAAGTTAGATACTACCCTATAAACATCCCGGATTTAACTATCTAAGTATTAACTAGACTTTAGTTATATATATATTACTAGTATTTAACTGACTTAGTATTATATGATCAGCCGTTAACTTTATGGACGGATTACACAGTAATAGTTTAACAATAACAAATTATTATTATTGTTTTATTTCATGATTGTATTTTTTTATGAATAATTATATAAACGTATAAAATGTAACTAATAAATATAAATGATAACAAGTAAATAATTTCATGCAACATTATCACATAATCAAGATAATTATAATCGAATAAAAGCTCAAACAATTGTCTATACCTATGAGAAAAAAATCATTCTGAAGTCTACACTACTTTTAATTTGATGTTGTTTAATGGCTATATTTATGTGAAACATGCGTTTTTTATTTGATATAATTTACATTTGATTTGTATCCTTGTTGATGTATATTTTCTTAAAAAAAAAACGGAAAAAAATTTAATCATAGTTTCATTTTTAACTTAATGTACTGAATATTACATCGTATATATTGTATTGTTCTTATATGTCATAAACTATAGACATGGATCTTAATCATGTTTGAAGGATATGTAGTTTTTTTTTTTAATTAATATAATAAGGCGTACTTCGTGCACGACACACCGATTTTCCATATAATTGTATGATATAATGAGATTTTAATTGTTAATTCTCAGCAAAAATTTTTCAGCCTCAGCTTTAAATAGAACTCCCTTACAATGCTGTAACTAAACTACTCGAGGCCTGTTACAAATCAAAATCTTAAAATTTCTTTTTATTACACGATTTTCAATAGCAACTAAAACATTTTAATTTTAAGTGGGAAGATATTTTTTAAATTTTAAGATAAGGATTTTAATGAAAACATAATGGAATATCCTAGAAGGATGTGGGGCAAAGGATATTAGTAAAGTTAGTAAATAATATTGGTTTAATTTAAATAAATTATAAACTGATACTTTTACGCTAGCCATTGACTATTAGGCCATATAATATAGTAAAAGGCTCGGGACCTGTGTAAAATGCACACTCTGTACGCCCGGATTTTATATGACACTGCTCTCCTAATTTCCTAACAATTTCAAAACACACTTGTACACAATTTTCACAAAATATTATTTATACGAGATCTTATATTTTAATTTGTATTAATTATACAAACCTGTAAATATCTATCATTAGTATTTAATATTTATGCACATATTATGACTGATGTAATAATTTCATTATTACTTCAGTTAAGAAATGAAAATTACATAATAAGTGCCAAAAGATTCATGTCATTGAAAAGTTAAACTTTTTTATTCTTAAAGAAATTACGTAAAATACAAATTTATATTATCATACTAAATCGAAATTTAAATCAATTAAATCATCGTATTATATTTAATGACCAAGTCATGTTATGCGGAATTATACTATCATCAAATATAAAATACATGAATATATAATATTTAATGCTTATAATTCCAGAGATTCGATACCTGGACCGTTGACAAATGTGTTGGACGGATTTAATTTAAATGAAAATAAAAATGTTCGAACAGTTACGCGACATGAAAGTATCGGGGACCATGATCCCGGAGTAGTTGGACCAATTGTTTGGGACTTGCATTGTAAACAAATGAAAATAAAAAGTAGTTAGTTTCAATAAAAATAATAAACAATTTATACATTGTATATACTTAATATTTAAATGATTCAGATGATCAAGATGACGATTCGTGTTCGAGCTTTGATGCGTTCAACGCTATGGATACCAACGTTACGAAAATGCGACAAAAATTTCACGAACTTCTTGACGATGCGTTCACATTGTTCGACAGTCGAAATTCGAGCGTGCGCAGTGACGAAAGCAGTCCATCGATAAATAACAACGAACAAAGATCGAAGTCGGCTCCATTCAGGTGAACAATTTTATAATGCGTGATATTTCAGCTATCGTATTGAAAACGCGTTAAATCATAAACTACACGTTAATCGTATAATTTAACTGTTTACTCATTGACAGTAATACGCGCGTGACCAGTGCCGTATTTAGTAATTTTGCACCCCGGCGCTAAAAAAAAAAAAAATGGCGGCCCTCCAAGGGGTCTATCTACGGAAAATGTAGTAGATAGATCCTCATGAACCTTTTAGATATTCTAAAATCAATGCTATTTTTGTGTAGTAGGCACGTCAGCTCACGCCGCACGCGATAACATAATACGCCGTATTATTATAAATATTTTATATTTATTGACATTATCACAACAAATTTGGGAACTGATATTAGGTATATTAATAATTTTCTAGATCACTGATAGCTATATTGCTATAAATACATTAATAATATATATTAATTAATTAAATACATTAACATTAATTTATGATACTGTTATTAAAAACAAAAGAAAAATAGTAATTTTAAAAGTTCAATAATTCACAAGTAAGCAAATTTCCGACCATAAAATTTTGGCGCCCGGAGCAGTTGAAGCCAGTGCCTCCCTTTAAATGCGACCCTCCACGTGACGTTTCCTCAGAACGTTCCTCGTACCCCGGACTATATGCGAGGTGTATTTTTTTCAATCGTGTAATCGTATGCTCGTTCCGAATCGATATTAGACGTGCTCACCGTATCTGCAGTGGACCAACAACGATTAGAGGCACATGTTGAGCACACGTAGAGTTGCGTTACACGTTACAGCCGTGTACAGGAATATAAGCATAAGCCTAACTAGGGTAAAAAATCTGGGGGGGGGGCTACAGCCCTCCTACCAAAACTTAAAATAACCTGTAGATTACTCATACTCGTATATACCGTGTTAATATATTTTAGATTCTGAGCTAAGTTGGATTTACTGCGATGTGCGTTGTTTTGTACGTGACACTATTACGAGATAAGTATGCTGTATGCGGTACGCCACGTATGACATGGAATATTAATGGGGGGGGGGGGCGAAACCTGGGTCCGGGGGGGGACTAAGCGTATTATTAATATGCCGCAGCGCTATCCTCCTGGTGTACATTTGGCGGACCCGTTAAACAATCAATACGTGTGTTTCGTACGTGTATAGGTGTTCGGCTACTTCCGGCGGCCATCCGTCCGGCCGTCCCAAAACGTCCGCCGACGACGACGACAAACTCGCCCCGGCCACGGCGGCTAGCTCGTGTTGGGCACTGTCGCCGGGCGAGGCGTGGGCCGGTTCGGACCAGTCGATATTCTTGCCGCGGCCCCTGAGCGCCGGCCCGTTCCACCGGCCGGCCCTGCACACCGAGTTCATCAGCTTGGACGCTAACCTGTCTCCCCAGGATCCCGCTGTGCCGCTTATCAAGGCCATACGGAAGGAACTGGACAAATTCCCTTCGCCGAATACACACGCTGACTCATCCCGATGACTCACGTTACCATCGCCGTTCCATTGACGGGTATACATATGCCGTAACTGTTCAAACCTTCCACCGCCGGGTCGTTATATGATTCATTGCGTAACAATATTACAAGCACCCACGCGATACGTTCAACGAACACTTGTTTGGGGCATTCGTGTCTGTTCCCCTTTGTACCATACCTTTGGTCGGTTTTTTTTTGTCATTATTATTTTGTTTGTTTGACGTACACGTTTTTTCCTTTCTTTCTGCCAATAAAACGACCGTGTATCGATTCATCTTTTATACTCTTGTGTTCAAATATACTGATGCATTACGATATAATATATTAACAATAATTTCTGCATATATTTATAATATTTGAAACAGGACAACAAAATAGTCCGTTTCATACTGCACACGCTTAAGGTTTGCTTCTCCTCGAATCACTGTTCACTTTGTATAATGTATAGATACCATCAGGGATTTCGTATCACTCTTTGATACTTGTGCAATTTTATATATCTTAAATCCAATATCGATTGTCAATAAATATTAATACTTACAATCAGGAAAGGGTTTAATTTGAGGTTTTATTACCCCTACACTATTTATGTCATATTCAACATTTAATATTACATATATTGATTAGCTAACGTTTATTTTGTATTTTAATGAATTCATTTTGAATACTCGTTAAAACTGTTTGACTGTTTGTCAATTAAAATAGTAACATTTAATATTCTTTGAATTTTTAATTTATAAACTATAGTTTATGAGTCATTATTTTTACTCCTCAATAGCAAATCAGTGGTAAAATCTCACCCAGTGTACCAACAATTTATAAGAGGATATGCTATCTCCTGATAAATGTACACACCGATTATTTTAGACGTTTAATCATGCCGATAAAAACAAAGTATGCTTATTAAATTATGCATTGTATATACATAATATTTATGAATATAATTTAAGATTGATAGAGTCTAACATACTGTTCAACTATTTTACTACCCAACTTGTGTGTATTAAACGCAAATTTATATAAGTACAAATTATTATTATTATTACTATTATTATTACAAGTTATTATTTATATAAGTAAACGTATCCATAATTAATAATAATTTATCAAATTATTCGTTAAAAATTCTAACATTAGTTATAATATTAGATATTACGTAATAATAAAATTGTTTAACCTTTCGATAATGATTAATACAACTACATTAATATGTATGTACACAAAAAGTGTATGTATAATATATATATATATATATATATATATAATTATAATTTAATAATTATTGTAGTTACTTTAGACAATTATCATTATCAAATGTTTTATTTTTTAATATAAATAATGTTTTTATTTGGAATTACACGTGTTATTTACATGTATTTAATTTTGTACGTGAGTTAATTATAGACTAATAACTTTTATGTGATAATTTTAAAAAACTATATTGTGTTCTATTTAACTCAATTTGGAGGAAAATTATTTGTAGTAATATTACGGATGAATTATAAGAAATTCATGCAACAGCTATGTATATAAATTGCCAACTTTATACTCCTTGAAATACATGTGAGTTAATATGATTAATTTCAGTACTTTTCTAAATTTACTTCTGACATAATAATATTCAATGCTAGTTTATTATGTTAACTAGATTAGTTTTCAGCCAATATTTGAACTGGATGTGAACAAATATATTACCATATACTACACAACACTGTATATTACAAAAAAACCTGTTATACATTAACAAGTTATGTTGTTGGCGTTTTATTCAAATTTACCGAGTAACTTTTTTTAAATATATACGTAAAAGCAAAAACAAAATCAAATATTAAATTAATTTTAAAATATTTGTTAGTTTAATTGCAATATAAAAAAGCTGTACATTTTGATTGATGTTAAACCGTATAAACAGTTTATAGTTTATATATATATTTTTAAATTTCTGTATTTTGTAAGAATTCTTATTTGACTTCTAATGTGAAATAGAGCACTATGTACATATATTTATTGATGTATACATTAATGTATATTCTATTTTTAAGATTTGAATTTTGATACATTAAATGATATTATCCGTATATTATAGAGTATTGTCTAACAGTGGTAAAAATATCTTATACTTGCGACCAGACACGTAATTTAGCCGAAAGTGGTAGGAGTGATAGTCACCCTCCAAATATCCTATTTTAGTAACCACAAATTAAGATATACTATTTACACACAATTATTTTGAAGAAGGTTAATCCCTCCCTCCAGTGCTCGACTTGAGGGGGGACGCAGGGGGACGGAGTACCCCAACTAATTTTCAGAAATTTTAGCGTCCTCCTACTATTATTACGCTATAATCATAACGCTCAGCCAATTTTGGGGATGTTCTTTTTTTTTTAAGTAAATAGAGTCCCCCTTCTTTAATTTTGCCAAGTCGAGCACTGCCTACCTCAAAATAAGTACCTATTTACGTGCCTACTTGCTGGTTATAACTTTTTTATTTCTATTATTTTTCATCGTCAATTGACCAACATCATGTAGATATAATTACATAACGAACCGATATGCAAATATTTGGTTTAGAATTTTAATATTTACCAAACGATCAGCGAATGATAAGTCGGATACGACTAAGATCCGTCGACGTAACACGTAATTAATAATCGTAATTCGAAAACAATAGAGGTGTTCACGACAAACATGGTCTATGGAAATGATCGATTATCGTTCGTGATGTAGCTGGGCCAGCCAGCGGTAGAGGAGAACGACAAGCGTTGCGTATAAGTGCGCCCGTTGCTGCAATGTATAATAGAAAATAATAAACACTATAACAACCAATAATAATAACAATCGATAAAACGAGACGGTGATGATGACGGCGTATAGGAGTAGTATTGAAACTCGTACGCACAGAAATTACACGGTAATCAGTTTTTCGAAGACGCGACTGGAGCTCACGAGGACATCGCGTACACAGGATCGAGTGTATAATACATACATGGAATGGTGGACGTGAGTGCAGTGTAGTTTGTACATAATAGTGCACGATGGGAACTATGCGTTTAAATAAAAACCTCTTTTGTGAGACGACTTTCGACGAGTACATACTACGCTCTACCTACGTGTACATTCACTGGGAACGCGACTGGCACCCGCGGGCACGACGGCAGACGCGCGTTTCCTGGATGGTAAAAATGTAATGACCGAATAATCGTTTGTGCATTTTATGACCGTCGCGAGCGCGCGCATAAAACAGAACAAGGTTGTGCATGACGATTCGTCTACAAAAAAAATATATTTATTTGATGATTACCGATTGAGATTAAAATATTTAAATATACTACTATTTCCTATCTGAACTGATGTCGACTCGTGTCCTATCATTATTCGACTGTATAGTTGTTTTTCAATTATATGTGTCGATCGGATCGGGAGCTCATGTGATGGTAGTGCATAGAGACGATCACCGGGGCTTAAAATTAATGATGTTTCGTGCGGACTTTTTGTAAACCGTACGAACAACCTCTGGACTTGGTATCTCGGAGGATATTATGTTCGTAGTTGCTTACGTACACCCGTAAAATAAAATAATAAGATAAAAGTCGTTTTACAGTAATAATAAAATTATCTATTATGTAATTGAAATTTGATTTTAATGCAAAATAAGTATTAACCAAGATATTTCGTTAATAATATGAATCTCTGCATTACCGCTTTAATAAACGAAAAACATAGAAACCCTTAAAAACGAATTACAAAAAAAACCTATAACATATTAAATAAATTAACGAGCATTACACGCAAAAGACGGATGTCTCTGACACACAAACCAGTATTGTCTACCAAATCGATGTGTTTGTGGACGGCGATCATAAACACAGACCCTATAAATCGAAGAATGCAATCCCATTTTCGTCATCAAACACTCGCAATAGATATACGCATACGGTCAGCGAGAAGTCCGCTTCATGAATTGACAAAAGTAGTGTTTAGATACGTATTCGAATAATAACCGTCCTACTTGTAGTTTTCGACCATTGTATGTCCGCCATACTTGATCTGAGCATACCCATCCCTCAGGATCGTGTTCATCGCCCAAACGAAATTCTTCCTCCTTGTAAATAGTACGTAAAGTAGTATGGGTTGATATTCAATAAGTCCTGAGTTGTGCGTTGTACATTGTCAATAAATTTATCATGCCAATACAATTCAATAGTTACAGAGAAATTATCACTCATGCGAGAAGCATATACAAGACCTATAACATTATCATCCTAAATATGAAAAAAGATCGAAATCATTCGTAAAAAGAACTATGTTCAATAATATAATGCATGCAGATTCCGTTTCACGACTACAACGTTGAATGCGTGTGTATTATGAGATTTTCTCGTCGCACACATATATTATATTATAATACACGCGTTACACGAGAACAGGATAGCAAAATATTCGTTGCAGCAGCGGAGCCAAAACGCCGTCGTACATGTATCCGTTACACGGGATCGCCATACATATATGAGTAAAATATTATACTACATGACTACGCTTCTGAAGGGGAACTAGAGGTTAATATTTTTAATTATTTTCATTATTATTATTATTATTATTATTTATGCGTATTTATTATATTTATTTGAGCGTTACCTTTTTTGCATAACGATGGATACCTATTATATTATTAATAGGAGAGACAATTTTTATGATAATTATATTTGAAATTCTGCTGGACCGATTTGGATGTTTTTTTTTTTTTTAAACACGAGTACTTTGTGTGCAGGTGAGCCATAATCTAATGAGAAAAGATCAAATATTTAATTAATTAAATAGTTATTAGAAATATTAAATTTTCCGTGTGTATCAGTTTGGTATCAAGACAGAGGCGCGGCGCGGTGGCACGAAACAACGACACGGAGGAAGAAGTTTGTGCGGCCACATATTACCGGTGAAATCCAAAAGCGCAAATTCATTTTGCGCTTTTGTACCTTAGTAGTGGGATAAAAACGCAAATAGAAATATTGCGCCGTTACACTATAAGTTTTATTTTAAGATAATTAATAATTACTACACATCGTAATGAAACATTTTGTCATGTAGATGAAGAATCAAAAATTGTAATTTTCACAATCAAGAGCAATTTTATATACAGTTCATGTTCAACATAAAAAAATGTACGTTCAAGTGGTGTATTGTATGTTGCCATCCGAAACAATTGCTATTTATGCCAAAATGTGGCATTTAATAAAAACATTATGTACTAACGAATTAAAACCTTAAAATATACTTATGGATTTTGAATTATCTGCTCATAATGATCATAAATGCTTATAATTTTGTGTATTTTTCCATATGCACAAATTAAATGTTGCCGGTTTCACCTAGCATAAGCTTGGTACAGACAAATTGGAAAATTGTAACTTAAAATTGAATCAGAAATTTGAAATTGGTTAAATTATTTTTTTGGATTAGCTTTTTTACCTTCCACTAAAATATCTGATGCGTTTTATGAACTATTTTCTATTCCTCCTGACAATGATAAGGTATAAGCGTTTTCTGATTATATTTTAGCAAATTTCATTGAAGATGACAGCAGATATCCACCGCACCTCTGGGTTGAGCCACCTTCAAATGAACTAAAGACTATTAATGATCCAAAATCATACCACCGTCATTTGAAAAATCAATTTTATAATCCATATCTATTTATAATTTTATCGAAGTGCTTAAATAACCAAAGTTATAAACGCCAAAGTTTACTTAAAAATACAATCAAATGGGCGAAAAACCACAAAACGCAGCTCTACAGTCAACTCCAATATAAATGCATGGAACATGTATACTAAGAAAAAAGATTTGCAGATTAGACTATTTGAAAACTGTTGGCTTCAAATTTCAAATTTTTTAATTAATTTTATAATCACTAAAAGCTTAATAATCATACGATTTTAATAAAATACACTTCCTTTTTGTAAAGTCGATTTACGCTTATGGGTTGTTAAAAAAGTACTCATTTTTTGCGCTTATAGGTTATTTATTTTTGCGCTTTTGGGTTACATTCGGGTCATATTTTGCACTTATGAGCTATAGCTCATATTACCGTCTGGCCACTGCCGGCCGCTTTCGCACTCCGAATTTTACACGCCGTTAGATAACTGGCCATCGCATGACTCGACTAAACAAAGATAGAACGGTAGCATAGAATGCACGTCTAACTACGATTAAATGAACCAATACAATTTTACGAGTCAACTACATCTCTTCGAACGCATATGGTGAACAAATAAATAATAGAAACATTCTATCCTACACCACAGACGAACACGAAAGTGTACGTGTTTTATTAAACGAAGAATATTTACTTATAATTGTGAAAACAGATCTACATCTCTGAGCTCATACGTTTTCACATCCTCCGAGGATCGCCCGTGACATTTTTCGGGATTTTTTCATTATTATTACCTAATATTATTGTCGTTAGTGAGACACGGCCGTGTCGTCACTGAGATTTATTTCGCGGCGGACTTAACGGCGGACGTCGTCACCGTAGACCGCAAAACCGGATACGCGCGCGCGGGCCTATACCTACACGCGGAACACACGCGCGCACCGTGTGACTTACCGCCGCCGACGGGTGGTGTACACTCATGTTTATTGTGTACGCACACGCGAGCATAACGGGCGCGCGCGCGTACGACCGGATGCGGACGTCATGTGTTTTGTCATCTCCCCGAACATCGCGCGGCGAAGGCGATATACGCCGTCCCCTCACCAACCAATTGTGATCGTCGTCGGTTCGTTTCTTTAACTTACGTTTTATTATTTATATTTTCACCAAACGTGCACTGCACGTGTACATTACACCTAGAACACGCACGCACGCGCACTTCCTCTTCGAGAAAAAAAAAGAACATTACGCTGCTGCGTGTGCGTGTACAACGGTGTGTGAAGGTGTTTTTCTTTTGTGCGCGCGAGCACCACGCTCGCGGGCACAGCGAACGGGACCGGTGCAAGTGGTGTGTGGTAGTCGCTGCGATCGTCCGTCCGCTTGTGAAAACGCTTTTTTCACTCGGCCTGACGACGCGTTTGAAAATTTAATTAAAAAAATGTTACGATTTAATTATTATAAATGTAAACGGTGCTCAGTAGTAATCTTATAACGCAGACCCACCCCCGTTAGAAAAACGTTTCCTTACTACGGAAAATAACCGCAACCCTGTTCGAAATTACTTAGCTGAAGCGAAACCTCCTCCGGTTACTGGAAACAGTAACATTATCGTTTTAACGAAAAACAATCAACACTCAGTACGCCGGAAAAAAAAAACTGATACTATAAATAAACCCCCTAAAACGAACCCTTCGAAACGGAAATACTCGATTTCAAAATGGTAACATCATGAAAGAACTTGGAAATTTTTCAATCGTTGTTTCAAATGCTGAGTTATTGGACAACAAAAGCTCGAGAATGTGCCGCCGTTTATCATCGAACTCCGACAAATACTACAAATTAATTTTATAAATTACAAAAATAATTTTTAATATATTTTCATTCCTCCCTATAACGGAAAAATCAGTTGATATCAAGCGATTCCGTTGTAAGTTTTTTTTTGTATTTGGATGACAGTTGGTCATTATTCATGGTGGAAAGTCAGAAGTATTCGGCGGCGATTTCTGTTAACGATTGCCGTGATACGAACACAGAAACTCAGAACACCTAGCCAACTATAGAAGGAAATCACTATTATTTTTAAACTTTAAAACATAATAACTATAGTTGTTCTAGCCGATAAAACATTGTAATCTTAATTCTATGAAATTAATAATACAATATTTACAATCATTTTTATAGTAATTTTTAAACTTTGTTACTTTTAATTATATTTTCAAAATGTATTTCATTACACAGTGGAAGTGAACAATTTTTTTTAATGTTTTAACGAACTAGTCATATCGGCATTACCGTTATTAGAACTGTAAAATGTTTACTATTTTCCGACTCGAACAACTACTACTAGTAGACCATCTTTGATACTTCATTTATGTTGTTGGCATTATATTATACGTCAATAATCTATCAATTTTAAAAAGACCAATCCCGAGAAAGTGTCTGCGATCGTATTAAGCCAACGTGTAGTATATTTTTGTTTAGTACAACTGTTTCTGTGTTAAGAACTAACTAGCAACTTATTAACTACAAGTTAGAGTTCATAATGTGATTAACATGTTTTGAGTGAATAATACCCCCGTCGAGTTAATCTCAATTTCTTGCTCCGCAAGTTTTATCCATGACATCCGGAAAGAAGGTGGGGTGATACCGACGAACGTCTTTCTTCGTCCTTCTTGTATGATCTCATTATATTTTCCGAGAGCCGCGCGCGGAAATGCATCCGCAGCCGCAGCGACGTACAACATGTGTGTACACGCCACTTTCTATTTTTTTTTTCCACGGGACCGACAATGACTCCACACGACTCGCGGATCCCACGGTCTCGGGCGACCGAAGTCACAACCATACGATAATATAAAAATACAACTTCATGGCTGTCGGCGGGAAATCACGGTCGTCTCCGGGAAAACGTGGTCACTCCGGCGGAAAATAATGTCGACGACACGAAGGAAGAGAAGGTGACGAAAACAAAAAAAAAAAAATAAAAAATAAAACAAAATACAGTTTTTAAAAACGCAAAAAAAGCTACACATATATTTAATCGTCAAACACCAACGTAGAATATATACAAAATATTTCAACGACGCGTTTCGCGTTAAATTAAATTCTTTATTTAAACTACAAACTACTTTAAATGAATATAATATAATATAAAAAATATGTGTATAGATACTTAATAATTAAACGTAGTCTTATTTTTAAATAACTATAATAGTAAAATGTTCAATACCATACTTAAATGGTTTTTAATCAAGTTAATAACCTTATGAAATCGTAATAGTAATAATATATGTATTATGTAATTCATATAAAAATATCCGTTAATCGGCGAAAATAATATAATAATAATAAAATAATATTTGTAAATAAATACATGTATATGTATTTGTATATATATATATATATGAATATAATAATGTATATTGAATACTACTTAAATAACGCATAAATATTTTTTTTCTCACCATAACAAATTGGACTAGCATTTTATATTGCAAATATTTTTTTTTACAGCTCATTATAATAGACATACACATCTTAGATAGCTGTTATTGAGTATCTGGTGATCATAAGCAAATTTATATATATATATATATAAAACAACAAGGGAGAGTAGGGCAGGGGATGTTGGATACAAAAAAAAAAAGATTTGAAAAACCGTCTGAGTTTTGGTTCGTTTGTAATTATTAAAAATGACACACGCGACGATAGCGGGCGAATGTACGTGACGCGCGTAGGACAAAAAAATAGAAGAAAAAAACGATAGTAATTATTGTACGAGGCGACGATGGTAAAATATTTTATTGTACGTCCGAACATATCCGTGGCCCGTGACTCTTGGCACAACTTTGTACGGAGATTTTCGTTGACCTTTTCTAATCGGAGTTCGCGCGCGCGTACTACGGTTGTAAAATCGTAAAAATTTTTAATATTCGACGTCGCGCGTCACACGGCGTTTCCCTCGTATTTGTACAACAAAAATATTGTTGTTTCACGCTACTCTCCGTTTGTTCCTATATATTTACTATGATAGTACTATAATAGTACTATCATATTGGTACCGCAGTGGGAGTGAGCAAACGTTCCGCGGGTGAGCGCGCGCGCACGCTTGTTACGCAGCAAAACATTATACTGTTTTATAATGATCGTTTTGGATTTTTTTTTATTACTAATAATTGCACAACGATTGCACGGTAAGCTGATACACATCGGCATTGTTATTGTGGAAGCGCCGTCGCAAAAGACCGTAGCAGAACAAACGACAATACCGACCGCCAGGATTTTGGACGCATCCCGAAGTACTAAAAAGACAACTCCCTTCCACAACCCCTAATTATTATACGGTATAATGTATTTTATCAACACAATTTTAAACCCTACAAATATATTTCCCCAAAAAATAAAAAAACCTTAATTACGCGCGGATCCCTCCAAACGATGAGAGATGATTTTTAAACAATTTAGTTTCTTTTTTTTTTTATTATTATTAATTACAGATGCACGCGCGCGTACCGTGCGTTTGTAATATATACATGATATAAATCGGAAGAAAGACAACAACAAAATATAGTCTAGACTTACGCAGTCGGGCTAGAGATCATTGCGATTTTAGGTACAATGTATGTATAACACTAACTAAATATTAAATTAAATTTTTATAATTATGGCGTTCCCTCGCCGTCGCACAGTGGTCGGTTGCGTCTGGTTAATTTCGTTCGTCGTCGGAGTGATTGAAACTATTGTTCTTCTGCTGCTGCTGCTGGTAATGATGATCGGCTTTCGAGTTTTTCATATTACGATCTGAAACGCAAACATTACGAAATTAGATACATGACAATTATTAAGAATGCCCGACGAAGGTCATTGAAATATAATAAACGTAAGTTGTTCCTTCTATAATAATCAGTAGCGAGCCACTATTATCGTGTGACCAGCAAGACGCTGTTATAAAGGCATGTCCACACTATGCTGATATATGCCATTTTGATGTATTGGCACTTGGATTTCTTTGATCCGGACCGATACTGGCGAGCCAGTTTGTAAAACTTTGTCTGATGGCACGTGCCAACAAAAAGTTCACATATCACTCCTGTGAAAAAAAATGGTGTAGCCGCCTTAAGATTTTATCCGTCCCGACCCGTTAATAAATCCATGCTGCGGCAGGAATGACGTTTTAGACATTCAAATTTTACATCGATCCGGTTAAATTTCAAATAAATAAATTTTAAATGTCAGATATAAAACGACGCGCGACTCAGTAGTGTTAAAAACTTCGACATGAGCTCGAATAATTAACTGGGCTGCACCGGTCGAATTATTATTATACGGTACTTACGCGCGTGCGCGTACGTTGGAAAAATGTACTTTTATCGTGTCCGAAACGTTCGCGCCGGTTTTAAACGATTTGTAATGCACATAAACCGGGCCCGGATGTATGTTTTGTCACTATGTTCGGAGGAAACGTCTCGGAAACCGTATTGAAACGATATACATATACGTGCGTGACGACGATCTTCACACACCGTACACACTTTTTTTTTTTTTTTTTTTGATGGTACAATAATGATTCGTTCAATCTCGGTTTTCAATAGGTTAGTTACAATAGTTAGTTACAATAGTTCCACTAGTCAACACAAAAATTTGCCGGATTAAAAGTATCCGTCAATCCGCCACAGAAATATGTACATGTAAACAATACATGGGGGGAGGGTACTCATAAGCTTTGATATGCTAAAAGAATACGTTATAACATGGAGTTACCGAATGATTTCAATTTTACTCAACTTCAAAATTGTATATTTCATACACAATTTTCTAATTAATCTTAGATTTAATTTTTCAGTCGATGGACATCACTCATCCTAAAATAGCTTCAATAACCGAGTTGTCTAAGGATCTTCCATTAGTGTAAAATAATTTTTAATCGCAATAAATTACATATCTAAACCATTACCTGCAGGGGCGAACTGGATTAATATTTCAGGCCGGGAATTTTTTTTGCCAAGTCAAAAATTAACAGGGGACCAATGATTTGGTTATAAGTATCCAAAAAAAAAATAATAATGATAAAAAACTTTTTCAACATTTTATGTAGTGATATAAAATTACATACATAATATATAAGATATTTTTTTTATAGATACAGAATACACATTTTAATATAATACCTGTATATTAAAATTAACTCTTAAAGTAATTCCATTTTTACATAATTAGGTTTTTTTTCATAACTTCACTAGTTTCCCCATTCTGTCGATTAAAATATTGTCATACTATATTTTTAATTTCTAAAATATTATCAAGGCATTTAATCTATTATTGTAACGGGCCAACGGGATTTATCCCGATGTCCCGTCAGGCCAGTTCGCCCCTGATTACCTGTTTTCGATAAAAATTACATTACATTCGGAGGTGAACAATTTTTTTCCGTCTCAAATGTATCGATACCACAGGAAAATAACTCCAAAAATAAACTAATTTGGTAAAATAATACAACGAAAGAGTACAGGATTCAACATTTTCACTCGAGAAATAAGTTAATAATATTTGCACAAAAATGAGTTGATAAAATACCAATGATAACATTTACAATACAATAATTCCTTGCATAAAACACACGAAAATATTAGGCCTAACCTTAGACGAAAAACATACAAGACCCATACATATAAAAAATTAAAAGACAGCCAAAAGAAAAAAAGGACTGATCATTTTCAAAGTACTTTCAAGCATGAAATGGGGAGCATACTCTAAAACCTTGATAAACATATATTTTGTATATATTTTTTTTGTTGCCATATATAGGCCATTTAGGTCCTTAGTCGCAATTTCTAGTTCTTCACATAGTTCTTTGTTTTTGTCATCTCTTCTGGATTTTCTATTTCTATCAATGTTTGAACAAATCGTTAGTATCATTTATAATCTTAAAACCTCTCTTTATTGTATTAATTTGCCTCGTTAAGACATAACATACATATTATTATAATAATAAATTACAACGTATACACACATACAGGATTACACGATATATCAACGACACGTTCAATTTTTTACAAAATATATTTTATACTATATTATATATATACTGGGTTTCAATAATATCTTGACGAATATTTACGTCCATAAGACAACAAGCCAGGATAACAAAAATATTATCTAATTTATGATACAGGCTTCTTAGACCATGAAAAATTTAAATTAAAGGAAAAAAATCAATTGATAAATAGTTCAATTGATTAATTTTTATTTTTTTTTTTTTTACAACAAAAATTTTAATTATAGTTAATATCAAACGGCAAACGATAATATCACATAATTCTGAAAGATGTCAACCGCTACCCATCGTTTTTTGGTATACGTGGTTCGATTTTTGTTATATAAATGAAATGTTAATTAGAAAAGCCGATTTTTTTTTTTTTTATAATCCTTACTAATATCTTCTAAATAGTCTATAGCTTGTTAGTATTAAAATGTAAAATATGTATAAAAGTTATATGAACTAAACATATTTATGAAGTAAATCTCACTTCAGTTCGATGTAATATGTACAGTATACAAGTATTTAAACTAAAATAATATCTAAAAGTTTTACATGGAAATAATTAACAGGATGGGTTCGACGACCGTCACGTAAAATTCGCAAAACACAAGAACCGCGTCAATAATTGTACTACAAGTGCTCACCAATCACTAAGTTTGTAATATATTTTATAATCAACTTTTTAATATATTATTTTAATCGACTCTAAGTCCGCGTTTATTCTAATCTTCGTAACGCGAACAGTTTTCCGAAATGTATAATACAAAACGGATGCGACACCACGCAGTGGCGTACCTGTGGGGGGGGGAGGCAACAGGGGCATTTGCCCCCCAAGAAGTTTTTTGATGCCATAATGCAAATTCATTGTCCAGCTTAAATAATGTAAATAATAAATATTTTTACTGATTATAATCGTGTTTGATATCACTATCAATGTAATATAAAATGTCAATATTCGACCAAATTAGGATTAGGAGTTATGGTCGCATATAGTCACTATTTTATTATGTGGTTATCACTTATCATTGATATCAAGTGATCAACATGAGGACGTTATCATTACTTATTTTGTATCTACTATCTACGCGTTTAACGAAGTTAATTGTTTTTTTCCTTGTTTTGTATTAAATATTGTTTGAATTAATTGTTAAATATTATTTATTAAGTCTAAATCAAACATTCAGACACAATTGACTCAATGGGTATCAAAAAAAGCTGAAAAACATTGTTGTGATGACAGCACTGGACCCATCATGAAAAAATTTCATACATCTGATCCACAATCTTCCAATTCAAATAATATTATTCCAATTACATCATCTAAACTGTCACAAAATGATGAATCTACTAAAGTAAGTAATACTACTTGTAACAGTTCAGTTTGTGATGACACATACAACATGGACATTAGAAACTTTTTAAGAACACCCGGTCGTACATTATCTGATAATATTAAAGAAAAAATAATTAATATGGATAATATACCTCTTGATGACTTTATATATCCATTTACTATGAATATTAGAAATGGTAAAAGTGTGAAAAGATCATTAAGAAAAAGTTATTTTGAACAAAACAAATTTATTCTAATGTTAAGTCCGGGTTGTTCTGCAAATATTGTGTTTTATTTAACAATAAAGGAGGAAGGTATAACACAATAACTTTGAAAAAATGTATCATTGAACCTGTAACTAAATTTTCAAATTTAACTGGGAAGGATGGAGACTTGGAGGTACATAGTAATAATAAATATCATATTACTGCTATTCAAATCGTGGATGACTTTTTGAAAACTCTTTATAACCCCCAAAAAGAAGTTATTAATTTAATAAATAATGAAAGGCTGAGTCAAGTAATCGAAAACCGAAAAAGACTTAAACCGATCATCGAATCAATTTCATTCCTCGGCCGTCAGAATATTCCGTTTAGAGGCCACCGTGAAAAGGGAAATATTTTAGATAATAATGATTCCATTGTAAATACAGGCAATTTTCGTGAGCTACTCAAGTAAAGAGTACTTAGTGGGGACTCTACATTAGAAAAACATTTAACATCTAAGTCAAAATCAACATATATTAGTCCTAATGTTCAAAATTACCTGATTAAATGTTGTAAACAAATTATTACACTACAAATTTTAAAAGAGATAAAAGATTCCAAATTTTATAGTGTGATATTTGATGAAACGACTGATATCAGTCATGTCTCTCAGATGTCTCTTATATTGCGATATATTATTAATGACGTAGTGCAAGAAAATTTTATTTCATTTATTAACTGTCATGCATATACATATAGTATTCAAGAAGACGCTGGCAATACCATATATGAACCTAAACTTACTGGTGAAATTTTGGGTAATACTGTAATTAAAATATTAAAAGAATTTTCTTTAAACCCGGACTACTGCATTGGGGTGGGTACAGATGGATGTTCAGTTATGGTGTCATCAATCCGAGGAGCTGTTTAAACTATTCAATCAATCGCAACGAATGCTGTTCACTGTCCTTGTGCTAACCATGCCTTAAACTTAGCTATTTCTAAATCATCGACTGTACAATGTATAAGAAATAATGTTGGTCTTTTAAAAGAAATAATCTCGTTTTTTAATATGTCGTCCAAAAGAAACTTTGTACTAAAATCTGTTTTAAATGGCAAGCCTCATTTAAAAAGTCTATGTGAAACAAGATGGGTAGAACGCCATGACAGTATAATGATTTTTAAAGCATCAATACCTCAAATTATAGAAACTTTGACCAAT